TCAATTTTACCACTTGCTGACGCAGGTGGTTCTTCGACTCTACCAAGATGGCACACAGATGAATTTCGTCCCACTGGCCCCGAGGCCAGCTCCACCCTTGTAACACTGTAGTAACCAGCATATCATGAGTCTGTAGCACCGGCGGGTGTGAGGGAGATAGGCAGAGCGAGGTGCGATCGCGAGGAGACGTTGCATAACAAAGGCAAGTCGACTCCAGAGAAAAACAAATTTTCTGATCCTTTTTGCAGTATGCTGCTTAACGAGAAACGTTGCCAAGTTCAATGCATTCTAAATATCGCCGGACAACACTCCTTAAAAGAGAGGTTGCGCAGGACCACGCCCCGCCGGCTGGATTTTGGGCGGTAAGCTGCCATGCAGCTGCCACAAAATTCTGCGCCGATTAGCTTTACCCAATAATCACTGCTGGTCCCGACCAGCAAGATAAAATCGCCACATGTGGCCTCCACAAAGGGAACCCTCTCTGTCCCACCAATGATGGGCTGTTTTCCCCATGAATCGCTAGACCAACAGACCTACACCGGATCTTGAGCATGAGAGAGGGCTGTCGTAGGACTGGATAACAAGCGGGCCCAGTTCGTGGTAACCTTGCGCTACACAGGAGTGTGGCCTAAAGCAATAAACAGTGTCAGTATTTCCTATTTTTCTCTTTTCATGTTTTATTAAACAGCATTGCAGCGAATTCAGCAAACCAATCAAGAGTCCAGAACTACCATTCGCAAATTTCGTCTCGCCACCACGCTTTCTCTTCTAAAGGCCATTCAGAACAAAAATGACACCGTTTGAAACCCGTAATACAGCAGATTTAGGAGCATGATATGTCCCAATCCTTGTCGATCACTGCCCACAGTCAAGGTACTTTGGAGCTACTCAGCAATCCTGTCCCATGAACTGAAGCGCCATGTGTCCTCTCTCTGAGATGGTTCCGTCTCAGAAAAGACAATTGGAACGCGCGTGCTCACCTTATGGACATATATACGGCTCCCCGGTCCACACTTCATATCCCCCTCATTTCCAGAGAACTTTTCTCTCTCAACCTCACCACCACCCCCACCTCCAGACATGAATC